TTAGGATTGAAAACATATTGTATTTATTTTTAAAAACGTACTTGAATCCCTTGATCATCCATTATTTCTTCTCTCGAAGTTCTGTAAACCTTTTAAATGGCTCGGACTCATTATACTTGACGTCACGAGAACAACCTACTTATGGAATAGATTGTGCGAAAAAACCCTTCGAGTGTTTCATGTAAAAACATACGAAAAATCAATCGTTTATTAAATCTACTACATCAGTTGTGAAGATATATCCAAAAAGACATAGAATCTGAAAAAAAATATTAGAAAACACAAATAAATTGTGAATTTTAAGGCATTTAGAAATGTCATCTAGTCGAAGTTTCAACCCTTTAGTTTAATTCTCCTTGTCAGCGATCATCTATACTTCATGTAGAGTGATAGTATAATGATTCAAGCAGTTTAAAATGTTTACAGAATTTCGAGAGAATAAATAATCGATTATCAAGGGATTCAAGTAGATTTTTAAAAATAAATACAATATTATTTCAATCATAACTCATAGTGGGGCCCCCTGTGATTAGGACGCTATATATGTCCAAGGGAAAATATTTCCTTGTCTTACAGATAGTTTCCAAGTGACCTTTTCCCGCGGGCCAGACAGGCTTTGCTTTTACCTATTTATGGAAATTGGCATCTTATTTATATATTTTATATGCATACCAATAATTCATTTTCAGAGGATGCTCAACCTGCTATTGTTCGAGCTATATGTTCAACCAATCGTCCGTTTTTCATGAGTGTCTTCGATAAAACATCTAAGAATAAGATTTTGGAATTTGAACGGCTAATGAAATGCTGCAGTCCAATCCTCTTTCCCTCGTCACGTGCCACTATTGTTGTTAGAGATAGACGAGCGCAGATCTTGGGTTTTGTCAAACATGCGTAAGTGTATTAATTTGGTTCAATCGTATTTATAAGACAAACTTTGCTATTGGTTTAATTCATATGTATTGGTTATGGATTTTTACCATTTGCTATAAGCTCACGCAGACATCAAGGGCCTGGATTGTATCAAAGCCTTAACTACTTTATAACTATCCGTTTTGTATAATTATCTTGTAGTTAACTTTAACCATGCAGTTAAATCGGTTGTATAACATGTATAGTTTAATGCAGTTATAAAGCGTACAGTAGTTAAAGTTAACTGTGCCCGTTAATTTCTCAAAACGTGTAGTTAAAAATGACAGTGTTAGGAGTTGATCAATTATTTTATTCAGTAAAACAATAAAGAAATGAAACGGTTACCTAAAGTTTTCAATCGCCCTCATTGCCGGAAAGTTTTCCTGATTCTCACAAACTTTAAAGCGCTATCCGTTTGGTATTTTTGGTGAAAATATACTTTTGCACACGAAGACTCCGCAAAGACGAAGTGGGACCCATAGCATGACGAAACAATGCCATTACTATTAGTACACACGTAAAAATCTCTCGCAACTTGTCAACAAGATGTGTTCGCAACAGGCTTGTGGCAAGCTTGTCAACAAGTTGTAACAATGTTGCTATTTTATCAAATTGCTACAAGGTTGTCATTCACAACTTGTTGACAAATTGTTGAATTGCAAGACTGAATTGTTCCAACAACTTGTAACAAGTCTGTTGAGCTCAACATCCTTGTAGCAAGTTGTCAACAAGCCATTGACAACTTGGCAACAAGCTGGGAACAAGCAGTGCGAACACATCCTGTTGACAAGTTGTTGGAACAGCATTGCTACAAGTCTGCTGCAAGATGTGTACTACTAATACACGTCCAATGTCTTGTATGTATTCGGTGTAGTATTCCACATCAATCACAGTCAATTTTTTAATTTAGAGCACGTGAAACATGCGTGTCGTGGTTTGGTCCGTCAGAATACTATGAAGTTGCAGACGACAAGGGAAATGTGGAGTTTATTGTCCAAGGCCCAGGAGGTTGTGTGTTTGAATGCAGAAGACCAAGTGTGTTTAGGGTGAGAGCATACATATGTGCTGAAAATCTGATCCATATGCCTTTAATGTATAAATCGGTAGCTTATTCGTTAAAGCGTCAACCAGGATTAATATCAGACATGCATGTTTCCTCTGGGGATGTTCGGTATGTATACCGATATACAAAACTACCGGTATTGAATCCAATATTCGTACGTTGGTATGACTTTTTCAGTAATACCGATATACCGAAATTTACCAGATGGCGAAGTCATCGATTTTGTTTTACTATA